CCGGTGCCCGGGGCGGCGGCCGAGAGTTGCTGCGGGGTCTCAGTGCTTTCTGGCGACGAGCGGTGAGCAAGTCCCTATCATATAAACAAATGTTGCGGCCTGATGGGGTGATTCCGCGTATTCATGTGACTCACGTGATGCCGAGGAACACTTTGGCGTTTGGTGCCGAAAAACACCTGCGATAAGAGGCTCACGAACAGCCCCGGATTCTTTCTTTTCTGAGCGACCTTCTGGAGTGTGGCTGCCGGTCCGACATCAGGCTCAGCCCGCAGGCTCGGGGAGCAGTTCTAATAAACTTCTATTTAACTGCTTGCAGCACGAGTGCTCCCTGGTTCGTATTAAACTGTGCCGAGTTTGGGCTGATTGAAGTTTCAGCAGAAACTCCCTCCACCGCCGGTGCCAGTGTGGCACCTTGGGGAGCGTCGCCTCAGTCTTCCTGATCGGGTCGCTCCCCTGGGGATGGTGACAATGGAGATCAAGTTTCAATTGGAGGCAATTCTGCTGTTCCCTCCTGTGAGAGAGATTATACTCCGATGAGTTAGATCGTCAGGCCGCCCGGTGACATAACGGAGGAAGCGGCCTTAGAGAAACACATGGGGCGAGAGGGTTGTTCCTGAATTTCACGGCCAGAAGCACTGACTGCATTGCCCTCCTCTGGGGGGTACACAGTGGTAGCGTGTTCTTCACCCCATTCCTGCACCAAGGAGCCAATTAAAGTTTAATCCTCACTCTCTCCCTCAGATCACGCCCCGCTGCTTTGTTATTGTCACTTTGTGTTGAATTCACTCTTTGTTTTGTTGGCTGATAAGAATAAAGATTAACTTTGGGGTCTTAAATTGCTAATAATCAGTCTGCTGGTAAGTGAAACTACTTCCTGCAGTTAGTTCCCTCAGGTAAAAATTAGCCCTGAAAAATTAGAAACGACCTCTTTATTTCGATTTCTAAAATCTATTTCTGTATATGGAAGGAGCTCCTATACCTAAGGTAATATTTACTATTATATATTAATATAAAAATTATATACACAAATATTTTAAGTAGAAGCTGCTTCACAATTAGACTGTAAAACAATAAAATCTTTTTTTTTTAAGTCCCCACCGGAGGACATGCTTAAGTTTGAGCGATACCTTGTTGGTAAGGGAGAATGGTTCTTTTGAAAATAAGTTCTGTATTTCCTCTCCAAAATTCTCAGATTACAAATATATATTTTGCTGTTTTTATTTATTTCAGAGAGAAGGGAGAGGGAGAGAGAAATAGTTCCTCTCCCTTCCCCTCTGAAATCAATAAAAATATATTTTAAAATAATAATAATAATAATAATAATGAGAGAGAATCATTGATCGGCTGCCTCCCCAGGCTCCCCACGGGGGGATTGAACCTGCAACCTGGGCATGTACCCTGGACCAGGAATCGAGCTGTGACCTCTTGGTTCATGGGTCCATGCTCAACCACTGAGCCACACCCGCCAGACTACAAATATATTTTAAATGCATATTACAAAACACTGAAAAGAATAACAACAAAAGTATAATAATGATTGGACTGGGATGGTGTATTATCAATTACTTTTTTTTCCCTTCTCATATTTTGTCAAAGAAGTTTAATTTTTAATGATTTGTTAATATTGTCATTACCTTCAATAAAAGCAATGCCAACTCCCTCAGTCATTGGTGGTGTGTTATGGCAGAGCCTGTATATACCTTGCCTATATTTTATTCATTGACTTAATATTTATTGAGCACCTACACCTTCCAGGCCGTTTTCAGGATGGGGGAAAACAAAATAAAGCCCCTGCCTTCCAGGACCTCCTTTCCAATGATAGTCTCACTCAGCCCGAGTGTCTGCTCCTCTACATGTCCTCCCCCCACCCCATCTTCCCTCCCAGGATCATGGCTGACCCAGGCCCTACTAAACCGATGTAATTAAGAAAAAGAAAATCTGTCCTAACCGGTTTGGCTCAGTGGATAGAGCGTCAGCCTGCAGACTGAAAGGTCCCAGGTTCGATTCCGGTCAAGGGCATGTACCTTGGTTGCGGGCACATCCCCAGTAGGAGATGTGCAGGAGGCAGCCGATCGATGTTTCTCTCTCATCGATGTTTCTAACTCTCTATCCCTCTCCCTTCCTCTCTGTGAAAAGTCAATAAAATATATTTTTTAAAAAAAAAGGAAAAGAAAATGTGGTTGGAAACACTGACAGGGAGGTGGGGGCTGTGAGTAAGAGAAGACCTGAGGCAAGGAGTAAGCGATGATGAAACAACAAAGAGGAAAAGAGATGAGATGAAGCCATCACAATATGGTGGAGGCGAGTTTATTTTAGAAGCTATTCTAAAGTTTTCATCTTTCTGGGATTTTTATAGATGCAAAAGTAATTCCATTTTTACGTCAAATTTATATTGTCATATATCTTGACTAGAGGCCCAGTGCACAAAATTCGTGCACTGGGGGTGGGGGGTTCCTCAGCCCAGCCTGCACGCTCTCCAATCTGGGACCTCTTGGGGGATGTCTGACTGCCGGTTTAGGCCCAATCCCACAGGCCTAAACATCCCTCTCATAATCAGGGACTGCTGGCTCCTAACCGCTCACCTGCCTGCCTGATTGCCCCTAACCGCTTCTGCCAGCCAGCCTGATCACCCCCTAACCGCTCCCCTGCTGGACTGATTAACACCTAACTACTCCCCTGTCGGGCCTGATCGCCCCCAACTGCCCTCCCCTGCTGGCCTGATGGCCCCCAACTGCCCTCTTCTGCCAGCCAATTTGGTTCTGATTGTCAGTTTGTATGCCAGTCAGTGTCAAAAGCTCCACCTCCTAGGCAGCCATTGGCTCCTCACAGTTGACCCAGATTTGGTTCTGATTGGTCAGTTTCTATGCCAGTCAGCATCTCTGGGCCTATCAACAGGGCCTGATCAGAAAGGCAGGGCTGATCAGCAGTCCTGGTGGAGGCCTGGAGAGAAATGGAGGTGGGGCTGCTGACAAGGCCGGGAGCTAAAGAGAGAGGCAAGTGCTGATCAACAACTGCCACAGAGGCTACAGATCAGACCCTGCTTCTCTCTTTAGGTCTCTCTCTGGGCCTGATTTGCAGCCCCCTCAGCAGTCAGTGCTGGGTCACCATGACTGCAGGACTGACTTCTGGTTGGTCGAGCCTCCTGGTCATTGCGGGTGTGACGGACCCAGGGTTTTTATATATTAGGATTACATTTCTCTTTCTTGTCTAAAACTGTGGTGATATTAGATGATATATGTGTCTTTAAATGACCATGCTTGGGAAAAGAAAAGGTTGCCAAGTCTGAATTGGAGCATCTCCTCTACCCTTTTTAATCCAGAAGTCTGAAGCCTACACTCTGAAGCCCTCCCTTCATGAATTGGACACTCAGGGGAGTGGCTGAAGGTCACGTTTGAATACAGAACATATGCTACACTCAGAAACACCTCTGACCTAAGGGTTTTTTAACTGTGCCAAATCCCCTCTGCTCAGGAAATGTCCAGTTTTTCACACAAATAGAGTTCTGGCAAGACACAGCCCCTCCATTGACCACTCATGTTTGAATCTCAGCAAACCCAATTAAGGTCAGAAAGGAAGTGGCCCTCCATCCCCCACCTTCCACCCAATACAACCTCCACAGACTCCTAGACTCAAAAGACCACAGGTGGGGAACCTTTTTTCTGCCAAGGGCCATTTGGATATTTATAACATCATTTGCAGGCCATACAAAATTATCAACTTGAAAATTAGCCTGCTATATTTGGTCAAACATCTAATTAACTCACCCTAATGCCGTGGCAAGGCCAGACGAAATGATTTTGCAGGCTGTATATGGCCCCAGCCCACAGGCCGGATGTTCCCCATCCCTGCAAAAGACAAATGAATACCCTACCCCACATCAACTTCCTAGACAGACCTACCAGTGACCTATCAGTCTCACTTGAGGGCCCTCAGAGGAACATCAAGTCTCTTCTCCCACTCTCTCTTGGTTGCGGTTGTTTTGTTTGTATATGAAAACAAATGAAAAGACTATAAATTGCTTAAGGTGAACAAAAGCAGTAAAGTTATAATCACAGGTTAACACTCTTAATGTTTGCAAACAAACCAAAAAAGCTAGCATAATTTTCCCCCTTTTTAAAACAACTGCTTTTTAACAGCCTTAGAGTTCTTAGGATTTTATTGCTGGTTACTTTCTTTCTCTGAAATGTGCCTGACCAGGGTCTAGAGAGACTTCAAGAGTCAGCTTTCCTACTCCCACACTCATTACCACAAGAGTCTGTGGCAAGGAAATGGATACTTCGCCTGGCAAATTTGCTGATTCCAGACCTGATATGATCCTGGCTTCCCATAGTAGTTAGATCGCCACTGTCAGCAGGACAGAGTTGGCCAAGAGAAACACAGTAATCACTTGAGATCCCATTAGGTCTCAGTCCCAATCAGCCTGGTGAGTTTGATTACCTTTAGGGTTGTTTCAGCTACAGTATCATGCCTTCAATGAAGTGATTCTTAATCACTAGTAGAAAATGTTATCCTAGTATAGTAGAGAAGCAAATAATCACAAAATGGAAAAATATCTTCCTTGTTCAAACATCCATATACCTGTAACTTAGTTTGTTAACTTAAAGTCATCCAAAGAATACGAATTTTGAGAGAAATTACATAGAAGAAGAAACTATTAATAATCTTTGAAAACATTCATATAATACTATCTGCCAGGCACTAC